TTCCCGGAAGTCGGCAGAATTTCCTACTCGGCAGGAGGGGTGAGGAGGTACGGCAGAGTGGTGTGGGGCGGCCCAAGGGGGTGGGAGAGGGTCCGGCCCACGCTGCGCCTGGGCTGGGACTGGTCCCGCCAGCGCAGGGTAGCAGGAAACTCTATTTTATTCTTTTTTCCCCATAATTTTATTGATAAACAAATAGCAATGAGAGAGCTTCAAATCAAATTGGTAGAACAGTTTCAATAATTAACACGTTGCATACATTCTTCCTAATGGTTAATTTCTGTACAAGATGTAGACATGATATCCTATTTACAAACACCATTAGAACAAATAACTCTATTAGAGAATGTAATATATGTCTATATATATTACATATAAGAGAATGTAACTATATATCTATCCTACCCACTTTGAATACACAGATACAAAATGGACTTTCATCTGTATATGGTTTTTTTGTTAAAATCTGTTATTTGAATATTATAGGTGTGTAAACTCAGCAAAATATTCTAAAAGAGTCCAGTAGACCATAATAGTATTGGGTCTTCCACTTCACTGGCAATGTCAGAAATTGTTGACCTGAGTCCCCCACAGGTCAACATAACAGCATGGATTTACTTCTTATACTTCGTTTTTATACTTTTCTGCTGGATGGTTCAGACCAAGGTAAAGCAGGACCTGTGCAACAAGAGTTGTAGTTTTTGGATCTGTTAAGGTCAGTGAAATCCCCTCAGGATTTATCCTGAGATCCTGTACCTCAGATTGTAGAACCTTTGTCAGTGTCACCCATGTGGACGAGTCATGGCCATTGCTTGGCCAATGTGCTCTCTGTGAAAGCCTGAGAGATTGCTTTCTCTCCATGTGACTCTCCTTAGGCACACTCTACATCATTGATCACTTTCCTCTTTAGCCCCATAATCTCCTTGATCAGAAAATTTAGGACACTACTGAGTTACATGACATTAGAGTACAAGTTCTTATATGTCCTGAGTCTTAATTGACCTTAGAAGGCTAGGGCCAAAATGTTG